AGGAGCTACAAAGCAGTGTGGCTGAGAGCTCCTCGACGCTGGATCGTTGAGTGACTACCCGTCAGTGTTCCCAGCAAAATTAGTGAGTGCGAGTCTGTCGCTTGTGTGTTAACGGCTTCCTCTGTGGATTTTCCAGCAGGAGTGCAGGAACGGGAGAGCAGCGAGCACAACTTTCACGGGAGCGGAGACACGGAGCACGAGCACTGAGAAGGAGACACGGCACGGGAGTTGGAAACGCACGGGGATTTATTATTGTGTATTGTTTACTTCACTGTAAATAAACGCACTGCATTAATCGCACAGAGTTCCGCATTTTGAGTCCTCCTTCCCCACACACCCACGGTCTGCCACGCAGACCATGACAAAAATAAAACTCAATCATACTGCCTCTGGCCATGGTGTATAGGTTTAGCCTACTCTTATGCTTATGTCTCTACGTCCAGGAATTGTATCAATATGATGTGCGTACGTTATCTATTTCGTTGCCACAAATGCGTAATTCGTTGCCACGTTATACCCAATTCGTGCCCACAAATGAGCATTTCGTGCGCACGTTATACCTATTTCGTGCCCTCGAAATAGTGTTTCATGGCCACAAATAAGTATTTCGAAGTAGTATTTTGTGGCCACAATTTATTTATTTTTTGGACCATATGTCATCAGAGGGGCTCCGTATTAAATGTGACTATCGGGAAAAAAAAATAGGGCAGGGTATATATCTTTAGCAAAGTGCAAACATACTAAGTTTTAACCATTTTAACCTTTAACACTACTGATTGTAGACGCTCGTAAACAAAGTAGGAGGAGGAAGAAGTTGACTCGTGACCAACGGGGGGATTTCTTTCTGAGCATGTGTGTGACGTATAGCATGCTTAAAAGGCAGTCTGGGCTATCAATAGGTCAAACCTGTTCCTGAACATCAAGTCTCAACACTGAAGAAGCAAAACGATCCCGTGAAGCGCTTCTCGTTTTCGGACTATTATCGTTGAGAAAATGGCCAGCAAAGGTGAATATATAAACCGATCTGATTGAGGAAGTTTTAGTTAAGCCCGATAGTTTACTAACAGATTGCGAGCAATCGACTGATATGATCTAACCGATGTCTTCTTCCCTCAGACAGACCCTCAGGAGCTGCTGCCGCTGTTGAACTCTGCGCACGCGAGCTTCGTAAAGCCGGTGATGAACTCTACTGGAAATACAAACTGCTGGAAATACTTATCAAGCACTACAAGACTGTCGCTAATGTCAAGTGAGACATGATGTGAGAGCTCATCAAGAGGAAGCGTGTACTGTAAATCTGACTGGCCGTGAGCCTAACATTAAAGACGGGTCTCATATATAGACTCATAACTGGTGGCAATATGGTAGCCGTAAGTGGGATGTACATATGTTTGTGGACACATCTTGCTGGAGTCGCTGGATTTGGACTGGCAGTGGACTCATAAAGGAAGACGGAATTCTCCAGAGGAAAACTTGTGGGATGCTGTTGATCCGCTGATACAGATCGGTGAGGAACTGGATCGAACAGGAGCTTCAGAATGGATGATATCTGCTAAAGATGATGATTGTCACATGTATATACACCGTATACTATCTGTGGACATTCATGCATGTTGGCTCTGTTATAGGTTAAGGTGTGACATTTAGACTAACTGACTTGGACCTAAAGGAAATGACACTTGTGAATATAAATTCTGTGAATCTACTTAAAATGCATTTTAAAAATGTCAGCATAAGTGGAAGTGTGTCATGAACAGTTCATTAAAAGATATACATTCAGTAAATGTATTACTTGGTCATGTGTAGTATCTGTTTGTATGGTGGCTATGACAGAAAGCAGTTTGTGAATGTAGCTAAGAATACAAACAATGCACATTTTTTATGATCAGAAAATGGTTAAAGCTGAATTAGAAGGCTTACTGATGGTGGGTCTGTTATTAAATAGTATAAGCGTTGTGTTTTTAGTTACTTGAGACAGCTGGTGTCAGGTTCTGTAAGAGCAGCTGACGTCAAGAAAACTTATGACTAGATTAAAAAGGGTTTCTAACTCCACATCCACAGCTATTGTGCCCACAGCAGGCATTCTGAATTGTGGTAGCAGGCATGAAAACAACAAGTGTAACACCAACTATCTAATTTCAGTGTTAGGCAGCAATCATGTGTCTCTCTGGGAACTGGTTCTGATCTAAGATTTAGGGGAAAAAACAAAACAAATTGGACATGATTATCTGCTTGCCAAGTGCTGCAAACCTAACTAATCTGGAAACATTAGGCGTTTAAAATCTTTTGGATTCCAAACATGTAGTCGTGGCTGATAAGGCTTTACAGGTGTTGGAGTACATCAGCAGGCAGCTGTCTTCCAGCCCAGGTTTAGGTCAAAGAGTAATGGATCTTGGCTGTACTTAACTGCAGACATTTTTAAAGAATTCATCCTGCTGGCATTCTTTCCGCCTTCAAATCTGTCTTATAACAATTTATTTACATGTCTAAGAACTAGCTGTATTTATATTTTTAACATTACACAGCTCTGCTTTGCTGCTACCTCATTTTAAACTGAATTCCCACCAACAATGGATTCTGTTCATCTGGACGTAGTGTTTCCAGTGGACCAAGCGTACATCTTTCACCTTCTTACATCGCTGCCATTCCCCAACTCTCTGTGGATGGTACTCATAGCCATTGATCGATGGTCAGTGATCAATGGTGACGACAACTTGCATACTAACGATCATGAAACTGACCTCACAGGTCATTGTTGACTAGTGGTGATAGTTTCGGTCATCATGCAAATGTGCTCTTTGTAATGCTGGGGAAACCTGCAGTCAGCTGACACTGAGGAAGTCACCTGGATGACTGAGGAAAACGCGACATCTACCTGAATGCAGAGAATTAACTTTTTGGGGTTTCCTTACCTGGATAATTGAGCATCTAGTAACACTATTAGGAAGGCCGGTGTTCTCCAACTTTGAGAATACGTTTGCTGTGAAATACATCGATCTGACAAAGTTTACATACACATTGTCAATATGGTACAAAATGGTGAAATTTCTGTTTAAAGCAGTGGTTCACATACTTCTTCTGGCCTCAAAGAAAGTTGACTACCCACTTATTAAAAAATTATATTTATTGTTAAAAATACAAATATAAAATGCATCCAAGTTTCATTGTATTTAAAGGTTAAATAGCTTCAGGGAACCCTTTGTGTGTGTGTGCTACTTTCCCCCCAATAAAACGATTCACCTTAGTTTCATTTCATGTTTTCACCTGCACATCCCAGAAATAATTTGCTTCCTGATAAGAGTTAGGCAAGAAGCCACTCCCATGTTTGTAATGGAAACTGTGTAGCTGAAGCGAAGAGTTCACAAAGAATGATAAGGTAACATGAGATCCCTGTAATCATTGCAACTGGAAGTAGCAAATGAAGTTTAGTCTGATGGGAAATGCTGTCGCATACTATTTCTTGGTTGAGATCACTAAAAAAAACCCAAACTGTTCCACAAAGGTAACAAATTGGCTCATGTTAGTTAATGAATTTCAGAGACTGATGTGTAGGCTTTTAAGTTAAAGAAAGAAACTGATCAACTTTCTGCCATAAATATAATTTCTACAACCTATTATCAATTATTTGTTACCTACTGATTATTAGAAGCACACTTCTACCACTGAAAACAAGTACCAACATTTTTTTTCCCCTTTGATCACTGAACAAATCTTGCAAAGGTTTATATTCACTGAAGAGATTCATCTACCAACTAGTGCTAGAAGAATGTGAATCAGATGATCTACCTAAGGGATCAAAATCTTGATAAGAGCAAGCCTGTTTTTAACCATAAATTCTGAAAGAAAAACCGCAGCAAAACATTATAAATTCAGGCACTTAAAGGATCCTTAGTTTATTTTTTTGTGGTAATACAAAAAGCATACAGAATTATAGAGGATAGGAGAGATCCCTTTCACTGAATTCAATTAGACCGTACACATAAAATGATTAATAATTACATACAAGCCGTTTTCTCTGTAGCTACATCCACAAACATCCCAGCCCTCCACCGAGAACAAGCATGGTCTTGTTGCTGTAAACCTGTCTCAACAGTTCTTCATACCCACTGGTACTGTGCAGGTAGAAAAAAGGCAAAAATAAAACAGGCGATGTAACTTCATACACAGACCACATTGATCAGATGGTGTTTTTATAATCATAATTTTACAATGAAACAAGTTTTTCCCAGACCAAAGCGTGTTTGGAGTTCATTTCCTCTCCATTAGACGTTAAGATGTTTCAGTCATAAACAGGGATTTACCAAGACCCCATGTAACCTCCGCCATCATTTCCATGTATCAAACCATACAACATGCCCACAGGGGCCGATTAAACAGAACAAAAAGAGCATGTAATCATGAAATGACAATTAAGCTGAGATACATGGAAAGTCTTGACTTTCCATAACTACACAACACATTTTCTCACTTACCTCTAAAAGTAACAACTGAAATAAATCACATGATCATGTCAGGACGATTTCTTCAGAGGAAATGCAAACAGGTTATGCTTGTCGATTACCGGTAGTCATGTGTGGAAACTCCTACACGAGACTTGCCTCTGACTTTCTGTTTTGTTTTTGGGTTGTTTTTTTTGTACTAACTACGATGACAAAGGGAAATTCAACTAATATTTTTGTCAATTTTCAGTGAAATGAAAATATTGTTAAACCTAAATAGCACTTCTATGTCTACATACCACTAGTTTTAAGTGAGAAAATATGTTTTTGTAGTAACTAAAATAGCTAACCTGCTTGGCTAACAATTCCTTAATATGTATAAGTAAACACTAATGATCACAGTAAGTGTCACAGAGGGTTTTTTTAAATATCCAAATTCGACCACTACTCTTTTCCCCCCTGCGTCTTTACATCTCGATTCACATTTAGAAATATAAGTAGCAGGAGCATTTTTTTTTAATCACCAAGGGAATTATTTATTTTTTTGTTTTTTTAAATTTTTATATTTATAGAGCTGGATTGAGATTTTTTGTTGTCGTTTTTTTCTCCTTTACCATAGTTTCTAAAGTTTATAATCATGAAATCCCTTTGTCACAAGTGGGTTACACAACCCGAGAAGACACCTATAAATACTAACCTACCTGCAGGGCTAGCAGCTGTGCAAAAAGTTAATTAATGGCAGGCTACTGCAAGCATCGATCAGCAACATAAACAGAAACGGAAGACTAGCTGCGCTCTCTACACACAGAATGGACCCTTGAAAAACCAGCAAACTAATGAGAGCTTTGTTAGATTGCACATTTTAAATCTCTATAAGGGCCGAATGATCTCACACTTACTGGTGAAGGAACTGAACTTGTGTTTAGCCCCTCTTTCCCCCTCAAGAGGCATTGAGGGGAAAGGAGGAAAGAAAAATTAAAGCAAGGACAAAATGAATCTGACACAGTCAGGTAGTCTGTAATAATGGGAACCCAGAGATGCGTTCTTAACTCAAGTGGAAACGAACAGGTGGAAGCGGGAGACCTGCGAGAGCAGAAAGAGCGTTGCTCATCCTTTGTCCTCGCGTTAGCATGTGGCAGGGTATGGAGATCTTGAAGTGATGAAGAGATGACGTTTCCTCTGCGCTGAAGGGAAACTCGGCCCCAGTCAATATCTTCATATTCACCATGACTACTGTTGCCAGCTACTGTGCTCTCCGATGTCATCTAACGAATAGAAACCCACCTGTATGTAGTGTTGATGTTTGTATAAGTATATCCTTTGCAGTGGCAGATGATGTACCTCACTTGTGTGAAAGCAGCCAGTCGTTTCCATTTTAGAGAGTCATCTAGCCCGTCCCACTGTTAGCTTGGTGAAGCCCACCACCGATCAAGACTGTGTGTTAATATGGACTACCACCAAAATATCATCCAGAAGAGATGTCTAAACAAGCTCCCCAACCAAAACAGATTGTCTCATTAGAGTGAAGTCTGTCTCATTAAGTCCTTCAGCCAATTAAATAATACAGACCACCTTTCAGTCCAACCAATCAGGTGCTTTCATTTAGTAAAGGCGGCCACCACGGCCCACATTAGTTCATTGACATTGGGCTTAGCGCTCTCTTTCTCGGGCTCCAGCTCTAGCAGAGTGTGAACCCTCTTCATGGCGAGGTCGTACTGTTCGTCTTGGAGCGGGGCGAAGGCATTCTCAAGAACATCGGACGAGTGAGCCAGCAGAATCAGGGCCAGAACCCGCTTGTCCATGCGGTGGGGATCGTTGACCCACTTCTCCAAAACAGAGTCCTGGACCTTCTTGACAAGGCGCTGCAGGTAGTAACAGTAAATATTATAGAGTTTTATAGTTAGAATTAATGTGAATTAGATTCAATTAGATCATTACACTATTCAGGCTCTAACTCGGAATCTGTACCACACCATACCTTTATTATAAAGCACTTTAACATAAAACCAAAGTTCACACAGTTCTGCACGTATACAAATATCATAAACAACAAAATAAATAATTAAATAACTAAAATAAAAACTTTTTTTTTTAAAGTCTCATTTGTAGCTTCATGTGTAGCAAGACTTTAACCCCTTCAGCAGTCAGACAGGAAGTTTGCTTTAGCCTCTCGAGGCCGGAAACTAAACAGTTGGTTTTTTGCATAGAAGGTTATGTTACAGCTAACTAATAAGCATATATCACTGCCAGACTTCTTGTCCTCCTATAGCTGCTTGTTTTAATGCTAGACCAGAATCAAGGTTGTTAACTATACAACCATGAAGTGAAAATGATTTGCCATCCAGTTAAAATATGAGAGAATATATAAGAGAGGCAGAACGCATCATTCAATCAGAGCTCCCTGACCTGCTGTCCATCTACACCAAGCGGTGCAAGTGTTCATAGTGTTCATAGTGTTCCTAGTGTTCCTAGCAAGTGCTAGGAAGATTATGATGGACCTCTCCCATCCCAACAATGGACTCTTCTCACTGTTGAGGTCTGGGAAGCGCTTCCGCTCCCTTAAGGCCAAAACAGAGAGATTGAGGAGGAGCTTCTTCCCCCAGGCTATTCGGGGCCTGAACCAGGTGTAGGACTGGACTCTCCCAAACACATCACTATAAGACTGGACTCTCACACACGTCACCACACGCACCACCACACATTTCCTATAATCCTATAATTTATAATCTCTTCTGCTATTTGCACATTCTTTACTGTAAATTCCTGAGTTAATTTGTAAATGTAAATTTTTGTAGTAAATTTTAAATATTGTAAAACTTTTCTTCTGTCATTTAATGGTCGGGCATTGTACAGCTACAAGCATTTCACCCCCATGTCATACTGTGTATGGTTGTGTGTGTGTGACAAATAAAAAATTTGAATTTGAAGAGGGGAATATTACCCCTTTTGCACTAATACTTGTGCAGTTTGTCAACTCTACTTTAACTGAATCCAGTGAAGGAAAAAAAAAGTGCAAATATAGGTCAAACCTCTATCAAATGAAGTTGAGGGTGTGACTAACATGCTCCTAAATAGCTGACAGTTCCCGCACGCAAACTAAAAAACACAAACCTCCCCCACTAATGATATGCAATGATGCTTGAATCAAAAATTTGATCATGATTGCAGAACAAAGTGAACATTTGCATACCTGTTTAATGGTACTGTTGGTAAGCGGATGCGTGGTCATATCAAAAAGCAAGAAGTTCTGCTTCTCTGTGGTGAGGACACCTTTCTCCACCAGGTTTTTGGCCAGACGTTCTCTGACATTTCGCAGCTGATAGTGCAGCTTGAGCGGATTCCAGGTCTCGCCTACGTGACAACATTGAGATGGGCTTTCAGACGCAACAAAATAAATGACGTGCATGCCGAGGTCATTTTTCCCCTTTAAGGTTCTTAGCTGAGAACAGGAGCCAAAAATGCTTCCTGTGTTGCTTTTATAAAGGATGCACCCATTGTTATATTTTGTTACATTTTGCAGACTGTGACAGTGCACAAAATGTAAATGTATTTTAATTAAAAATAAATGTTTAAAGTGTAATAAATCTTCATCATTACACAGTCTTTTGATATTTATCCATCTTGGAAAAGGACTACAGATAAACGCTAACTACTGCCATTGGTGAATGTCATCTCACACAACGAACACCAAGACTGACATCTACTGACAGATTGGTGCATCCCTAATTATCTACTGCATTTCCAACAATTGCCACTTGGGGCACTACAAGGTGTTTTTTTAAAACAATTTTAAAAATCTATTAATCCTGCTACTGACAAATGTGACATTACATTGCACATAAGCAAGCAGTACTCCTCCGCCCCAACATTTTAGACACCTATGTGACCGAAAAGGTGAAACAATAAGCAGATCACCACTAGGTTTGGCTAACAAATACAGCAGTCCTTAGCTCACCACTCAGTAGCTCTATCCAGCTCTGGACATTCTCTGGAGGCTGAGTTTCTTTAATGTGTTTCAAGGCCTCATCCAGCATCACGTCTCCTGTTGGAGCATCTGACTTGCAGATCACCTTGCCAGAGAAAGGTAAACATTTTAATAATGATGGCTGCTGTCTGTGGAATTGTGATGTAGACACATCCTGTGTGAGGAGGAATTACATAGATAACTAGGTGTAAATCTCCCGACAAAAAAAATGCTTCCTTCTTCGTCAGAAGAAAAGCAAACAGTGTCAAGTGTCCACTACGTCAAAGCATTTAACCGGACAAATTGGTCCTTTTCCCCCCTACACACACGCACAAACATCGCAATATAATAGTTCTCACCTTTCTTGCCAGCAGGCTTTTCCTTCGCACACCGGACGCCTCCAGCTGTAACCTCCCTCTGAGAGCCAGCTCTACAAGCATACAACCTCGAAGGCCGGAAGAAATACAGTCGTTCCAGAAAGACGTGTAGCCCTGGGTGGAGAAAAAAAACACACTCGCTAACTTAGCTGACGTGTTGGAAGGAGCTGAAGCAAAGCGAGATGAAAAGGAAAGCGGTGACTCGCTGGCGAGTTGTCAAGTGAACGCTTGGAGAAACCCGAGCTAAGAAGCTCAACAAACCTGATAATTGTTTTCACTCTCCACCACCCCCCATTTTTTTCTGTAACCTTACGAGCCAACAACAAAACGCAGCGCAAAACATTTCGATGCGCTTAAATACAAGCTACATGACATCTGCTAGCAAGCTTAGCAACGACACACTGTGAATCAATACACTTCCAGATGTGCTACATGAACACAGCATTCCGGGAAACTTTTAACTAGCGCTTTAATAAACCAGAGTTGGCTTTGTTGACAACCACGACTGGTGACGCACAGTAAACTCTAACATTAGTTAATGTCAAGTGTAGCGACTAAGTTACTAGCCAGCCTGCTAAGCTGGACTGCAAAACAGCGCTCACCTCTCGGTCCTTGAGGCCCAAGAGCAACACTTCCTCCATTAGCGTCAGTCTGGTCTCCTTTGAGTCCCCTTTGTCGTCGTCTTCCTCCTCCCCGCGGCGCACTTCGTCCTCCTCACCGCCGGACTCCTTCTCCTTTTCGGCGGCGGCGCTGCGAATGGCCTCGGTCCGCCGCTGGACGAGGCCCGATGTTCTCTGCGTGAGAGTACTCATAGCTGATGCCGAAAAACGATAAAATCCGAAGAAAGGCCCCGACTTCGACCAGCAAGAAACCTGAAGGTTAGAGGTGAAAATCGGAAAGCGGTGGACCGATCGAGCGAAGCCGACGGCTAACGTTCAGCTGGGCTCGAGATTCCTGCAGACTCTGCCCACTTCCGGATCCAACATGGTGGCAGGTGACGTAAAAACGTGGCCCGGAGTGATCCGCGGACGCCTCCGGCCTCGTGCATACAACAGAGCACAGCGGGAAATATGTGCTACATAACCTCTGAGCTGCCCCATAAACTGATTACATTTAACGACAAAGGATATGAATTATTCAGAGGAAATCTTGTTTTGTAGAGCCCTAATTTAAACAAAAACAATGGATGCTGAGTAAAGCGTTTTAGGAAGAAACTCAAAATACTTTAAAGATGCAAACAATTAGATAAAAATTTAAAAATGGCTGTCTTAATCATTACATTATTTAATCTCTGTAATGACGAGTAAAGGAAACCAAATAACACATGATAAAGGCGGGCTCAGTCTAGGAAAAAGTGTTAAAAATAGCCAGAGCTGGTCATCTATAAACGTTTACTGTATGAAGAATTAGCCTACTTCTATATTAGTGTTGTTGGTGGGGTTTAAAAATAAATAAATAATGATATAAAAATTGGTATTTACGATCTATTCTCTTGTTATATACACTTAATTATTGCACCTTCAATAGATCACTTAAAAAGAATTCTGACCTGGGAACAATTATATATGCTTAAACTAAAGTTCTATTGTATATACTTAATTAATTCATCTATTTCTTTACTTATTACCACAGCTGAGGTGCTTTGATGAGTTAAATTATTTAAATATTTGATCAAGCAGTGCTGGTAACTGCAGCTTTTAATTGTAGCAAGACCCAAGCTAATTTTTAAACTGTAATATGCAACATGTATTGCAATTTGCAGTACACATTAGTATTATATTTAGGGGGGAAAAAATGCAAACTATACATTGGAGAGTTTACTTAGCTCGAACGCTATATGATTTAATATAGATTCTCAACACAAGGTGGCAGGCTATGCGTAGGAAACATGACCAGACTGATTATGTCCTCCCCCTGCTGACCTCAGCTTCTCTGTGTATGATGATGAACACCGTTTTTCTTTCACATGAAAACGCACTGATACTAAATTTAGACTATGTGCATGATAAAAAAAAAATACTATAAACTAGGTTATTATTATTCTGTTTACAAGTCATTTCCTATTTTCTTACCTATGTTGGCATCTTTAAGCATGAGGGTGATGACTGTTGCCTTTAGCAGCTGTATGTTGGTTATTAGTGTTGTTACTCATCACTGGGAGAGATGCATCTTGGATTATAACCTTGCTCCACTCCCATTTACTGCACATAACTGCCCTCGGTGATGTAAGAGTGGCTGGACTATCATCTTTTTTATGGCATGTGTTGTGCCATATAGTGGAAAAGCCACATATGGAACTAATAATATAAATGAGCCCACATGCCCAAAACGTAAATAGAATGCAGACTTTATTCATGCTAGTTACACGTGTGACTTCCCAGCTATGAGGTCAAGAAGACATTATACAAATGACAAACAGACATATCTACTAGTCTAACTCCATTAAATAAAAGAACACCTTTTATATACTTGTAGCCGCTAAACTGGTGGACCTAAATCTTCACCACCACGTCTGTATACATACAAGCAGAAAGGGGAGTGAGTGGGTCAGCGCTCAGAGCACAGAAACTTAGCTGGCTTCAAACACACTCTTTATTTTCCATAAAAAAACAAAAACAAAAAAACACAGCCAGAGTCACAAATACAAGCTAAAATCCCCGTATACAATAAAAATAGTGTTTGCAACCCGCTAAAAACCCGGCCGGCTGGAATGATTTAACACTAAAAACACAAAGCTAAATGAATGTTTTTCCCTATGCTAAAAACTCCCCCCAGGGTCCTAATTCTCACAGTCCAGCAACACGCGGGCAAATTCTCCTGAGCTGAAAGAGACAGGAGAGGAACTCCTCTTCCGGGATGGGGAATCTCGCCAGCAGAAGACCAGGGAGGAGGCTCCTATCTCCACCTGACGGTGCGCGATCGTGCAGTCCAGCCACTCTCCACACCCGCGCACGGCCTCCCTCGTAGCTCCGCCCTGAAACAACAGACACGGGCCAGCAACGTTGTCGGCGCAGCCGCTGTCACCCTTCCCCGGCAAAGCTACTCCTAGCGCCCAACAGTGGGAAAGCGATACTCACAGATGCAGGCAGAGGCGTACCCCTGCCCTACTGTGGATTTCACGCGTCGCCTCCCACGGTCGCTATTCTGCCCTACTGTGGATCGCCGGGTTAAGCTGGCCGATCGCTGAATGTCTCGTGGCGCCCCACAGTCAGACCGGAGGTCCTTCTGTTCATATGCTGGCTTGCACGCGTTTTGTTTCCAGCTCTTCACTTTTCGTGTGTCTCTCTTTCAGTCTTTGCGCTCACTATCTCCCTTAAGTCAGTTTGGCGGCTGATAGGCCACCTCGGGGAACGCCCCCACCTCACAGGTGCCTACAATTGTCCGCTTAATCCACAGTGGAATAAAAAAAAAATCAACACTAAACACACACTATAAATATGGGGATAAAATCATGCAATAGGAATATCAATAAACAAACATGCAATATCACTATTACAATAAAATCATGCAAATAAAATCGACACTATGTACCAACACAGTCTGATCCAAAACAAAATATAAAAACACAATTTTCCACTGTGTGAAATACTCTTGTATATTTTTCTACCTCCAGAATCAAGTAATTGTAGAAAAAAAATGAGTTGGAGGACTTTTTATATGGAAACACAAAAAGCATTAAAAAAGTCAAAAAAATCTATAGTGAAGTTTTATGCTGTAAGGTTAATGCCACTAAATTCACCTTCAGTAGCAATAACCTGAACTTACTCCTTTCTGTAGGATTTTATCAGTCTGTCACATCACTGTGGAGGAATTTTGGCTCACTTTTCTTTACAGCCTTGCTTCAGTTCATTGATGTTTGTGATCATTTGTTTATGCACAGTTCTTTAAGCTCCCACCACAACAGTTCAGTCAGGCTGAGGTCTGAGCATTGACTGAACCATTGCAACATCTTGATATGTTTTTTTCCAACCTTTTTGGTTGTACATTCGATCCTTGGGATCATTGTCCTGTTGCATGACCCAGTTTCAGCCAAGCTTTAGAAGCCCTCATATTTGACTCTAGAATGCATTGGTATACAGTGGAGTTCATGGTTGACTCAGTGACTGCAAGAGCTCAGGTCCTCTAGATGCAAAACAATCCCAAATCATCACCACCAAACCACAGTGCTTGATGAGTTGTTCATGCTGATAGGCTGTGTTTTGTTTCGACCAAACCTGATGCTGTACGTTATGAGCAAACATCTCCATTTTGGTCCAATCTGTCGAAAGGATGTTGTTCAGAAGAAGCCTTTACATCTAAGCTGTGCTGTCAGGTTCTTTTTAGAGAGGCTTTTTCCTGGCAACCCTTGCATATAATCCATGCTTGTCTTTTTCTTTTTACATTGTCACAACCGGTAGCATTTAACATGCTAACTGAGGCCCGCAGAAACTGTGATGTAGCTCTTGGGTTTGTTTTGTTTGTTTTTTACAGCATTTCTTAGCATTATATGGTCTGATCTTGGGGGGAATTTTGCAGGGAAATCAACTACTGTAATAATTGATGCACTGTGTTAACACATACCTGAATGCCACAGCATACATTAATTCATGAATGGTACTTACATGATACTTATCTAATGATGATCAATTAATCATCAGTGATCAATTAATCAGGTTCACTGGACTGGATTCCCAACCTCTTTATTCCTATGGAAGGACTAAGTGTATACTTAGTTTTTCACTGGACTTGTTACAGTCCAATGAAAACCTGCTTTATATGTTGGGAAAAGGTTTTAATTACTTTCCTTAAAAATCCCCTTTTTCAGTTAAAAAGCTTTATAAACTGTTTATACAAGTGCATATTAAGTAAAAAAAAAAGCCTTCATATACTTTGTTGTTCAAAAAGGGTAATTTTGTATTTTAAAAAAGTAGCTTTAGAAGATGGACAAAACATGACTGAAAACATGATTCAAGTTCCTGAAAACAGGAAAGGTGTGAATATTTTTATAACATTGATTGGGCCTGATTGGGTTAAGATGAGGTCATTTAAAAAACATTCTTGAAAAGGCTCCCTTAGCTCTTATTTCATTAAGCGCCGTGATTATTATCAGAAAGAGTTCCCGAAAGGTAATGAGGAAAGCAAGCAATTCACTCTCTGGGCTGCATGTCTCATTAGGTTAGACGATTTATTCAGCCCACGTTGCGTCAAATTCTGGATTGCTCATCTACAATCAGTGACACCCAGGGTTATCAAGAAGTGGTTTGTAAATATAGTACTTGTGAATCACATTCAGCAACAACAACAGGAGACAAAGAATACAATGGAATACAGTGGATGACTGGATATGTAAAGCGCTTTGGGGTCCTTACGGACTAGTAAAGCGCTATATAAATACAGG